TGGAACGTTCTCCAGGACTGATCACATGCTGGGCCACAAAGCAAGCCTCGGTAAATTTAAGAAAACTGAAATCATATCAAGCATCTTTTCCGACCACACCACTATGAGATTAGAAATAAACTACAAGGAAAAAAAACTATAAAAAAAACACAAACACGTGGAGGCTAAATAATATACTACTAAACAACCAATGGATCACTGAAGAAACAAAAGAGGAAATCAAAAAATACCTAGAGACAAATGAAAATGAAAGCACAATGATCCAAAACCTATGGGACATGGCAAAGGCAGTCCTGAGTGGGAAGTTTATTGCAATTACAATCTTACCTCAGGAAACAAGAAAAATCTCAAATAAACAACCTAACCTTATACCTAAAGCAACTAGAGAAAGAACAAACAAAAACCCAAAGTTAGCAGAAGGAAAAAAATTATAAAGATCAGAACAGAAATAAATGAAATGGAGACAAGGGGCTTCCCTGGTGGCGCAGTGATTGAGAGTTTGCCTGCCGATGCAGGGGACACGGGTTCGTGCCCGCATGCCGTGGTGCGGCTGGGCCCGTGAGCCATGGCTGCTGAGCCTGTGCGTCCGGAGCCTGTGCTCTGCAACGGGAGAGGCCACAGCAGTGAGAGGCCCGCATACCGAAAAAAAAAAAATGGAGACAAAAAAAACAATAGAAAAGATCAATGAAACTAAAAGCTGGTTCTTTGAAAAGATAAAATTGATAAACCTTTAGACCCATCAAGAAGAAGAGGGAGAGGGCTCAAATCAATAAAAATCAGAAAGGAAAAAGAAGTTACAACAGGCACCACAGAAATACAAAGGATCATAAGACTACGACAAGCACCTGTATGCCAATAAAATGGACAACCTGGAAGAAATGGGCAAATTCTTGGAAAGGTACAATCTCCCGAGACTGAACCAGGAAGAAATAGAAAATATGAACAGACCAATCACAAGTACTGAAATTGAAACTATAATTTAAAAAACTCCCAGCAAACAAAAGTTGAGGACCAAATGGCTTCACAGGTGAGTCCTATCAAACATTTAGAAAAGAGTCAATACCTATTCTTCTGAAACTATTCCAAAATTGCAGAGGAATGAAAACTCCCAAACTCATTCTATGAGGCCACCATCACCCTGATACCAAAACCTGATAAAGATACCACAAAACAAGAAAATTACAGGCCAATATCACTGATGAACATACACAAAAATCCTCAACAAACTACTAGCAATCCGAATCCAACAATGCATTAAAAGGATCATACACCATGATCAAGTGGGATTTATCCCAGGGATGCAAGGATTTTTCATTACCCACAAATCAATCAGTGTGATACATCACATCAATAAATTGAAGAATAAAAACCATACAATCATCTCATAGATGCAGAAAAATCTTCTGACAAAATTCAGCACCCATTTATGATAAAAACTCTCCAGAAAGTGGGCAAAGAGGGAACCTACCTCAACATAATAAAGGCCATATATGACAAACCCACAGCTAACATCATACTCAATGGTGAAAAGGTGAAAGCATTTCCTCTAAGATCAGGAACAAGACATGGATGTCCAGTCTCACCACTTTTATTCAACATAGTTTTGGAAGTCCTAGCCATGGCAATCAGAGAAGAAAAGGAAATGAAGGTAATCCAAATTGGAAAAGAAGTAAAACCGTCACTGTTTGCAGATGACATGATACCATTGGGTTGGCCAAAAACTTCGTTCGGGTGTTTTCAATAACATTCTATGGAAAGACCCAAACGAATTTTTTGGCAAACCCAATACATATAGAAAATCCTAAAGATGCAACCAGAAAATTACTAGAGTTCATCAATGAATTTAGTAAAGTTGCAAGAGAAATTAAAGAAACAATCCCATTTACCATCACATCAAAAAGAATAAAATGCCAAAAGTAAACCTACCTAAGGAGGCAAAAGACCTGTACTCCAAAAACTGTAAGAAGAAAGAAATCGAAGATGACACAAACAGATGGAAAGATATACCATGTTCTTGGATTGGGAGAATCAATATTGTCAAAACGACTATACTACCCAAGGCAATCTACAGATTCAGTGCAACCTCCATCAAATTACCAGTGGCATTTTGCACAGAACTAGAACAAAAGAGTCTTAAAATTTCTATGGAGACACAAAAGACCCCAAATAGCCAAAGCAATCTTGAGAAAGAAAAACAGAGCTGGAGGGATCAGGCTCCCTGACTTCAGACTGTACTACAAAGCTACAATCATCAAAAGAGTGTGGTACTAGCACAGAGATAGAAATATAGATCAATGGAACAGGATAGAAAGCCCAGAAATAAACCCACGCATCTATGGTCAATTAATCTATGACAAAGGAGGCAAGACTACACAATAGAGAAGACAGTCTCTTCGATAAATGGTACAAAAAAAAAATTAGAACATTTTTTTTAACACCATACACAAAAATAAACTCAAAATGGATTAAAGAGCTAAATATAAGACCAGATACCATAAACTTCTTAGAGGAAAACATAGGCAGAACACTCTTCGATATAAATCACATCAGGTTTTTTGGGGGTTTTTTTTGCAGTACACAGGCCTCTCACTGTTGTGGCCTCTCCTGTTGCAGAGCACAGGCTCTGGACGCACAGGCTCAGCGGCCACGGCTCACGGGCCCAGCCGCTCCGCGGCATGTGGGATCTTCCCAGACCGGGGCACGAACCCGCGTCCCCTGCATCGGCAGGCGGACTCTCAACCACTGCGCCACCAGGGAAGCCCCATCAGTGTCTTTTTTGATACATCTCCTAGAGTAATGGAAATAAAAACGAAAATAAACCAACAGGACCTAATTAAACTCAAAAGCTTTTGACAGCAAAGGAAACCGCAAACAAAACGAAAAGACAACCATCAGAATGGGAGAAAATACTTGCAAATGATGCAACCGACAAGGGATTAATCTCCAAAATTTACAAACAGCTCATATGGCTCAATATCAAAAAAACAAACAACCCAATCAGAAAATGGGTAGAAGACCTAAATAGGCATTTCTTGAAAGAAGACATACACATTGCCAAGAGGCACATGAGAAAATGCTCAACGTCGTTAATTAGAGAAATGCAAATCAAAACTACAATGAGATATCACCTCACACCAGTCAGAATGGCCATCATGAAAAAAGTCTGCAAACGAGAAATGCTGGAGAGGCTATGGAGAAAAGGGAACCCTCGTACACTGTCGGTGGGAATGTAAGTTGGTGCAGCCACAATGGAGAACAGTGTGGAGGTTCCTTAAGAAGCTAAAAACAGAGCTACCCTATGATCTGGCAATCCCACTCCTGGGCATAATATCTGGAGAAAAACATGGTTCGAAAGGATACATGCACCCCAATGTTCATTGCAGCAATGTTTACAATAGCCAGGTCATGGAAGTAACCTAAATGTCCACTGACAGATGAACGGATAAAGAAAATGTGGTACATATACACAATGGAATACTACAAGGCCATTAAAAAGAATGAAATAATGCCATTTGCAGCAACATGGATGGACCTGGAGATTATCATACTAAGTGAAGTAAGTCAGCCAAAGAAAGACAGATATCACGTGATATCACTTATATGCAGGATCTCAAAAACTGGTACAAATGACCTTATTTACAAAACAGAAACAGACTCACAGACTTAGAGAGTGAACTTATGGAACCGGGGGTGAGGGGGTGTAGGGATAGATTAGGAGTTAGGGACTGACACGTACACACTGCTATATTTAAAATAGATAACCAACAAGCACATAGCACAGGGAACTCTGCTCAATACTCTGTAATAACCTACATGGGAAAAGAATTTGAAAAAGAATAGGTACATGTATAACTGAATCACTTTGCTGTACACCTGAAACTAACACAACATTGTAAATCAGCTCTACTCCAATATATCAATAAAATTAAAAATTTTAGAAAAAGGAATCCAGGACGATACATGGGCAAGATTTCTCTTTTCTTCTCCTTTAAAGGATATGACGAACTAACAGCTCCAGTAACAGTCATAAATATGCACAGACAAAAGGCATGCTGTTGCCTGTGACGTCTTTTGCTCAGAAGGTCTAATCCAGTTGCGGGACGTTTCCGTACCCCTGACCCAGAAGGGTCGGCCAACAGAGAGGGACTCCTGCAAATGTCCCTCCTGTGGGAAGGGCCAGTTAGGAGGGACAACCCTGCCTTAGGGCTGTCAGGACGGAGCTGCAGGAGCGCGCTGGCCCTTGGGCAAGTCATGACATCACCTGGCGCCTCAGTTTCCCCACCTGTGGCACGGGAAGAACTCTCACCCATCTCACAGGGCTGTCGGGAGGAAGAACTGAGCTATGTGTGCGTAGTACATACAGCAGTGCCTGAGACACGGAGCATTCGATAACTGTCTGCTATTGTCACCAGCATCATTACTGGAACTGATTGTAAAACCCAGTCCTTCTGTAGCCACTGGGCCAATCATTAAATTCCTCTTGACTTTATCTAGTGATCTTTTTCTTTATTTACCCAAAAGTAAACCCGCTGCAATGTATTATGGTCCAAATCCACGCGATGTCAGTGAGGCAAGCTCCCAGCACTGTGTGCACTTTGCCAGCCTTTACCGTTAGCATGTGCCTATTTACCTACCTGGCATGTTTACAGCTTCATAAATTACCGACTGGCCTGCAGCTTCGGGCGGACTGGGACATTTCCGGCGCAGAATGACTTCACCTTTCCCCTTGACTGGTGGTGGGAAAGTGCAGCCGTGGGCCGGTGACCCACTGACTACGCTTCACAGGCAGAAATGGGAGGCCAGCCCTGAGCCCTGCCCATCCCATCAGCACAGAACCACCCGGCCTCTGCGCACTCTTGGCCACTCGCCCCTTCAAGGGGGTCACGGGTCTCTGGACCCCCATCCAAGGCTGCGGAGGCCAGTGTGCAGAAGCTCGGCTGCAGCCCCCCGAGCAGCCTCTCCTGGTCCCCCTAACCAGCCCCGCTGTGCTCTTCTTCCAGATGGGTACGCCTTCTCGCAAGAGGAGCACGGGGCCGTGACTCAGGAAGAAATAGTCCGCGCCTACGACACCACCAAACAGAAATCCAGGAAGAAGTAAGACGTGGTCTCCCGGTGGAGCCTCAGAAAGAGACGGTCTGCTGCACCCAGTGTTAACACGTGCTTGTCAGAAGAGACGGGTGTCAGTGGCCAAAACACCGGAAACACATCCCGTGGCCTTAGCCCACCCATTTGTTAGTTCTCGATGCCCTCAGAAACCTGGACACAGGCCGCAGGGGAAGCCACCTTCCCCCTTCCCACTCGTCCATCCTTAGTGCTTGGCCTGACTTTTGTTTACGCTGTTCCGAAGCATTCAACTGTGCCCTGTGAGGTGTGAAATTAAAAACATTATGCTTCACCAGTATTTCAACATAAGTCCCGGCGGTTCTGGGAGAAGACAGAGTGGGTTTCACGGTGCATGAGAAACCCACCTGGTGGGGCTGCAGTAGGCACGCCGACTTCCTGTGTTGTCAACGCACAGATTCGGTCCGTGGTCAGCGTGTAAACCTCACTGGAGGCAAGCTGCCAGCTTGCTTTGATTCCCCCCTTTGTTTGTATGAAGTTGGCATAAACGTCCTGATGGCAGTGAATCACAACATAGATATCTGGGTGGTAAACCTGAGAACGATTATTGGAACCTCAGTCACATTCCCAGCAGGGCGGGCCCGTCGGGGTCCCCATGGTCCCTGCACCCTTGCTGCCCGGGCGCCCCACACTCAGACCTGCTGCATGGCTGTTCCCACGCTTGGTGCATGGTGGCAGCGGGCACCCGCCCAGACCCCCGCCCTCCCTCCTTCTCCCCAGATTCAGATATGGATGCCAGAAACCCCTTCCTCTATAACTAAAGAAACATAGCGATTCGCGTAGATTCTAAGTGTCTGTTCTATCTGCCTCTTTCTGACGACAGGGGAGCCTGCAGGTCAGGGCAATGGTGGAGCCGCTGGGGCCCTGCCCGCCTTGGTCAGGCTCTCAGAACTCATTTCCCGGCCTCCAGACCCCTGGACCTGGGCACCTGCTTAAATTAGAACCCACGATTGTTCTCTTGGGAGCTCAGAGCACATTTTGCCTTTTGAGTGAATTTATAGCGCATCATCCCAACGAAGGCGCACACCTGTCGCTCCGGAATCGGAGCCGATGAGTGAGTAACCCAGTGGGGAGAGGGAGGCCCCCGAGGCTGCTGAGGAAGACGACCGTTGGAGGGAAGCAAGGGCACGGAGACACTTTTCCTGCAAATCTCAGTAGAAATTTCTGAAATCAAGCCCTGAAGCCCAGACAGTTGTCATGATCAGCCTCAGGTGTCCATGGACACGGGTTTTAAGTGAACAGAACTCCAAACATTTCAAGGAAACGGCCTTCCTTACACTGACAGGTTTTCCTTCCTTATCCAGCCAGTGCTAGACGCAGGCGGCTCTCTGCACGTGAGGGGCCCTGAATCTCAGCCGAGGAAGGGGAGTGCCGAGTGCCCCTCTGGGGAGGGCTGAGCCAAGTTAGGAAATGAAACAACAGGGCATTCTGCTTCCTCCCCGTCATTTCGGAGCACCCGCATCTCACCGGGCATGGAGATAATTTAGAGTACGATTTGCGTGGACCACAAAGACGAATCCCCCGCTCGTGAGGTGACGGGGACCCAGAGAGGGCTCCAGGGCAAGCAGAACAATGCAGCGAACAGGCAGGTCCAGTTGCCACTCCTTCCTCCCCAAGGTCTAAGACAACTTAAACACTGGAGCACCTAGCAAGGTGAGTGGTTGAAGGACCGTCATGCAGGAATCACAACAGAATACGTGCCTGTAATTAACACAGCGGAGCAAGGTGGACGCAGGGATAAAGTCCTGAGTGCAGAGGAGACACGAACATTCTCACGGAGTCCTGTTAGGCACCCTGACGATTTAGTTTCATTTGGGAACTAAGCCTAGTTGGAAAAGGGAATTCAGACTCAATTCTCTGTCAGACACTTGGCTCGTTCTTGAACTTAAAGCCTTCCGGATCAGATTTGTGTATTACGGTGTGCGCTTATCTGGGGCTTTTTGGTTTTTATTTTTTACATTAAAATACAGTTCAGATTTTTGAGTTTTTTAAGTGTATTTTCCAGTTCCCTTGAGAAGCAGACTGAACAGTCTTTGCAGTCATGAAATATGCACACAGAAGAAAGCATTAGAGGGATGCCTTTCTATTTATTCTCTCCTGTGATTAAGCTACCTTGTAGCCAAATGACTAAATTGGGTTTCTAGGAGGAACAGCTGTCACTACGTGTGATGTATGATGTTCAGCCGGGCCGACTCGGGGGCTGTGTCACTTGTTCTATCTTTAAACTGAGGTCAGAGTGTCACACACAAGCGCTCCCCCGGGGAGTAGGGTGGGCCAGACTTAAGCTGCACACTGTCAGCTCAGTGGAGATGCCACCTGGGACTTGTCACTCTGCAACACACAAAGTGACACACGGGCTGGCAGGTCGGCACCGCGGAGCCAGACTCTGGACTGGGCTGAAGTGGCAGGTTCCACTCAGGGCCAGTGGTCTAGCCTGTCTCTATGCAGAATATTCCAGGCTTCTTGACCAGTGTTACATTCTCTCTTCTTGCCCTGTGCTTTGGAGAAAGGAGATGCCGTTTCTTTAACACTTGGAGTGATACCCTAACACGCGAGCCTGGGCTTGCAGCTCACAGCTGAGAGCTGTGCTGGCCTTTCCTTCACCAGACAAGGCTTTAGGTCTTGCTGTAGGGAGCTGGCAGTGAGAATCTGTAATCACTTGTCAAGAAACAGTGAATAATGAAAAAGTGTAAGTAACTAATATCTGAAAACGCGTATGGACATACATCACAGACTTTACGGTTGGATTTTTTTGATTTTTTTTTCTTAAAGGAAGCTCTAGTCTATAATCTCACCGTGAAAACAACGACCCTTTATCTTTTTGAACCATAAGGAAGAGAATATTCTATCATATTCCTGCTCCTGGAGATTTATGCCTTAGACCACAGGTTGAACAGAATGTTTGCAAAACTCTGCTGTAGGATAAGGTAGTCCTTGGTTTTGAACACGTGAAAGAACTACACACAGTTCAGGCAGGGTTTGAATTACTGCCCAGGGTCATTGTCCCAAAGTAATTCAAGGAGTGATTTAGGCTCAGCATTTGAAATGTAGCCTTCATCTCCTGGGATCCATAAAATAAAAAACTTGAACAGGGAAAAAAACTGTGGTTAAGCAGAGCCTGAAATAATAATATGGCAAAGAAATGAGTTACCAGGTCAAGTTAAAAGATGGCATCCCCCGTGGTATTCATTAAATACTTCTTCATGCAAATGCTTAAGTTAGAAAGTATAATAGTGATGGAGATAGTGAAAATAAAGCGCCTCCTCCAAAACAAAGAAAAGGGGGGGAAGCAATACAGCAGTTGACTTTGAGGCTGGTTCTTCACTGGCTCAAGGCAGTTCTTGGTCTCTGTCAGCCTTGGGGGAGATTATTTCGCCTCACACCAGCCATCTTTCCATCTTGAAGAGCTAGGAGAACAGGTAGAAGATTTTCCAGTGGGTCTCAGAGGTCAGGACCCAAGTTCCTCTGTAATGACATATTAATAAGTGTTCTTCCCAAAAGGAACAGACCTGGGATACTCGACTTCACGTGTTGGACTCTTCGTTGAGTTTTTTCTCAGCATCCCCAACTGTCCACTACCCACTTCCCTTCTCTTTTACAAGAGCTCCATTTAACGCCAGACTTCCAACTTGGGCTGTTTAAAGCACTCTTGGTTTGGTGGGTCTGAGTGAGGGGTGAAGGGAAATCCTCTCAGTGGGAAGAAAGGTCTCTGAGCCCACACAGCTCTCAGGGGCCAGAGCTAAGAAACCAATGGGACTGGAGAAGAGGGGCAAGCTCCCCCATTTCCCCACACCAAGCATAACCCACAGCTGTCACCCTGCAGAGCACCTCTGCTCCCCTGACCCAGGGGAGACAAGAGAGCCATTCTTCTTACACCCAGGCTGGCTCATTTTCAAGTGACAATCTCTTGCCCTAGTTGCCTTAGAGATATCTACTCCCAGGCATCAGACCAAGGAAAACAAGCTCCCAAGATTAGCCCGACGGCATTTCTCCCGACCTGGCTACGGAAAGGAGACCTGTTCGTTTTAAAAGTCGGGAACAAAGTGTCAGGTGGCTTTGATTTACAACAGCAAGAGGAAGAAGAATGTTGAAGGAATGGCGCTATCCAAATAACCCTGCCCAGGAAACCCAGGGGTCAAGAGAGCTTATCGAGAGCCTTTCACAGACCAGCTCGACAGTGTTGAGAAAGGGCCAGAAGGAGGAGGGACGCCTGAAGACCAGGATGTGAAGCCACTTCCGAGGGGACTGGAGCCGGTCGTATTCCTGAAGACAGCTGGGCGTGCAGCTCCAGGGAGATCAGTAGACACCAGGTACAGAACTGAGAAGGGAAAATCTGCCCTGTCATACAGTCTCCCTCCTTCCAACGAGATCCCTGCACCGGGGAACACTTTTTCGGCTTTTCATTAATAAACTCAATCCAAGTCCTAACAGCCTTGCTCCGCCCTCCCTCTCCCGCGGCGCTGAACTGGGAGGCCTGCTGGGCCACTGCCCCCCAGCCTCCCTCCAGGGCCTGCAGCCTCAGTGGGCGATGCATCCTTCCTGGGCTGCTGTCTGAGCATGCCATGCTTGTGGTGTCTTCCTCATGCAGGCAAAGCCACGTGCTCTCCTGTCTGCTGTCACATCTGTGCTCGCATCGCTGAAATACCGCCTGCGCCAGGGAGGTTTTAATCTGTCTATGCAGAGGAAAGGGGGCAGTGGAGGCACGTTTAATTGGCTCCCAGCAGAGCGGGCGGTGGGGGGGGAGCTTTCTTATGGAGTCGGGGGGCTCTGTTCCCTCCCTCTAGAAGTGTTACCATTTTCACATCCTATTAGCGTCCCCTGGTTGTTAAATTACAGCCACACAGAACAGTGGAGCCGGGTTCCCTCCTGGAGCGAATGCAGGTGAAGAGCGTTTTCCTGGTGTTTTTAGGGGGTTTGGAAAACGTAGTGATTCGTGGCTTTAATCAGTCCGTTGACTGGTGTATGTCTGCACAAACCTGTTTCGAATAAATCTTTTGTTAAAGTAAATGATCGGACCCCGCTTTATTTGTGAGTTTCCTTCCCACTAATAAGCAGTTACTGCCGTAGGGACTCCGGACTCTGACACAGAGGCTCTGTCAGCAGGTACCTGGGGCCTGTACCTGCATACATACACGCCCTGCCCGCCACGCTGACAGCCTGGAAACGCTGTTAATGGCAGGAGTGCAGGGGGATCTGAATGGCAGATGAACAGGAGCTCGGCTGCGGGGGCCCGAGGGCCACTCTGAGTCCGATGGATCAGGCAACGGGAAGAACTGTGCACGGAAGGGCTTCTCCCTCAGTTACTCTATTCCCTTTGGTTCATCCAGTTTCCCTGCAAACTGAGATGCGGGAAGTTCAGATTCCGTTGGCCAGCGTGAAGTCATGACACTGTCATCGAAGGGGGTCAGAACATGCCACCCCCAGATAGGCCACGTTGGCATAATGATGATTTTGAGCTGAAGGCACCTGAGAAGTAGCTCTGCCCTCCCCTTTCCACCTAAACGCAGGTCCTAGCATGCCCGTGAGAAAGGGGCCCTCCCCGCACCAGGAAGAGAAGGACGTTCTCACTACCAGAGACGGGCACGGACCAGACAGACCGCCCTCTGCAATAACCCTGACCTTCCACGGGCTTCCCTGCCACTGCCCCGCAGTTTGCTTCCATTCAGCCCAAGCCCCCGGGCCACATCCCACAGTCTCTCTTTGTGTAAAAAGGTAGATAAGCAGCTGGGCCTAACGGCTTTCGGGGGGTCTTCATTTTCCTTCTGCAGACTCCCACGTCCACCTAAAAATATTAAGTAAGTGTGTATGCTTTTCTCCTGTTTATGTCTGATGTCAGTGAATCTCTTAGACCAGCTGCAGACCTGAGAGGGCAGAAGGAAGTTTTCCTCCCTGACCTTATTTCAAAAGAGTGTGAAGAGACCTCTTGGGTTCCCTGCAGGCACAACACGTGGCATTCGGGCACGAGTCCACAGCCTTGGGGCTCCCTGGGGTGCACAGTTCACACCGCGGAGACCACATGGAACCTGGGGCACCCGGGCTCAGGGGGAGCTGAGGGCCCAGAAGTTGGCCTTGGAAGTGTAGAGAAGGGGGTGTCCTCACTGGAAACCGGCCTCAAGCCCTAGCTTTGGGCAGCTCTACGCTTCCTGGGGGTGGGGGACAGGAAGGAAAGAGAGCCTGGAGACAGCTCCCCGCAGAGGCTTAAACCCAAGAAAACCTCTTAATTGCCCACTTCAAATTTATTACAATTTCCCTCAGCAGACTGGTTCTGAGACAGGCTGGGAGCCGGGCAGAGGCAGGGCCGCAGGGCCGGCACCTGGACACACCTCTCCTCCAGCAGGAAAATATAAAGAAACTCTAAGGGACTAAAAATAACTGCATGCACGTGCAGTCGGGGCAAATTATGGACAAAAAAATACAAAAAGACCAAAAAACCCAACTGTCAATCCTGAAAAGCCGAGCGCAAAAGCAGGGTGCTGCGCGTGCCCCCTGCACTCAACACCACCAAAGGGGCGGGCAGACCACCTAAGCCACGCCTCCAGCCCGACCCCCTGGACACACCGCTACCTTCTCTCCATATAAGGAACAAGTTCGCCCCTCCCTCGGGGAGTGAGCAAGGGCACCTGTCGCTTATTCTCGCTCCCCCCGGCCCCCAGCTGCAGCAGGGGCCCCCCGTAAAGCCCTGCCTGAATTTCTTGTCTGGCCTCTCATCAATTTCTATCGACTGGGGAAGGCCAGGAACCCTGGCCGGCATCAAATCCTCCCAAACAGGCCTTGTCCCATTAGAACTGAACTTGGGTAGCCGTCACCACCTTGGTGGCCACATCTCCAGGCACATCAGGGACAGGAGGCCAGCCGCACTTCCAGGAAGAATTCTGCAGCTTTTCCTCTGCTCTACATAGGCCTGCGCCCCCAGCAACCCGCACCTTTTTTTTTCATCACGCAAAACAAAACGATTTAATACAATCAACAGCGAAGT